AGCTCATTGAACGTGAATAAAAAGTACAAATGAGGGACAAATTAAAGGAAAACGTGACACTTTGACTCCTTCAGTTTTTTAGGCTTTGGGGGTCTTTTTGCTGCCATGAATTTGGGTCAATTTGTTCCTTTACTGGAAGAAACACTCCTAATCAATACAAAGTTGTTCTGATCACCTTTTTCTAATGATGAAACATTTCTACATGGGGCTGCAAGGTGGAGCCGTGGTTAGCACCGTTGCCTCGCAGCAAGAAGGTCGCCGGTTCGCGTCCCGGTGAGGACACCCGGGATCTTTCAGCGTGGAGTTTGCATGTTCTCCCTGTGCAGCGTGGGTTGTCTCCAGCTTCCTCCCACACAGTCCAAAAACATGGTGATTGGTGATTCTAAATTGTCTGTAGGTGTGAATGTGAGTGTGCTTGGTTGTCTGTCTCTAAGTGTAGCCCTGTGATAGACTGGTGACCTGTCCAGGGTGTCCCCTGCCTTCACCTTAAGTCAGCTGGGATAGGCTCCAGCCCCCCGCGGTGTATAGATAATGGATGGATGGATGGATTTGTACACGGACTACAAGGTGGCGCAGTTGGTTAGCACTGTTGCCTCACAGCAAGAAGGTCGCCGGTTCGCGTCCCATTGAGGACACCCGGGATCTTTCTGTGTGGAGTTTGCATGTTCTCCCCGTGCAGCGTGGGTTCTCTCCGAGTTCTCCGGCTTCCTCCCACACAGTCCAAAAACATGTTGAGGTTAACTGGTGGCTCCAGCTCCTCCCGCGGTGTATAGATAATGGATGGATGGATTTCTACATGGGAGTGGTCTCCTCCAGGACGGCAGTGCCTCCATCCACAGGTCATGGGAGGTCACTGACTGGTCTCATAAGTATGAAAATCATAGTGATCACACGTTATAAGCTTCACCGTCACCAGATTTCAACCCAGTTTTAACACTTTTGAGAGATTCTGGACTGACTTGTTAGACAGTTCTCCCCCCACCACCATCATCAAAACATCAAATGAGTGAATATCTTTTGGAGGAATGATGCTCAACCCTCCAGTAGAATTCCAGAGAAGGTGCACTGAAGCGGTTCTGATGGCCCAACACGTTACTAAGACAGCTTCTGTTGGGTTTTCCTTTAATTTGTCACCCAGTAAGTAGTGTGAAGTAAAATGTTCCAGCTTTTATTCGAACTAATCTTGAGCTTCTGGAGCATAAATAAACATTTGATCGACGACCTAAAGGCTCAGGTCATCCAACATTTCAGACACATGTTTTCTCATTTACATGTCGAGGTATTTGACTTTGCATTTTGCTTGTACTTGTCTTTGTTTGACATATCCGTCTCTCAGAGAAATGTATGCCTCCACCCCAATGCAGCTGGGCTCAATGGAATTTTGTTTGTGGTGTTCACAGCAGCGAAAATGACATTTAGCTTGTTAACAGCGGCATCTTTAACCAGACACAAATTTTTTCGTGGCGGTTTTGCCACTTTAATATAAATAGTTACAGAGAACCACTAAGAGAGAGAAGCTTCTTAGGCCTTGACTACACAAATATGGATATTTACAAGTTGAATGCTTTCTTCTACATTTTGGTCTCTCGCCCACATTCACACACCATTTAAATCACTCAGATGAGGATTTTTTTCTTTGTGTTGCTTTTTATAAGGAGCGTGTAACTGAAACAACGACTACAGTGGCGGATATACACCAGTTTCTTTACATTTGGTTTCGTACGAGCTCTGCGTCTGCTGAGTCCAGAGCATCTGCGGTTTCAAGTCCACCAGAAACAATCTTCACCAGAAACGCTCTTCTCTGCTATTTAATGTATCATTGATGCAGACTGACCTGCCAAGCTGCTCAGAGTGTTTGTAGTTGTTGTTGCGCTCGACTCTTGTGTGTGCAGAGATATTTTGTGGAATGACATTTGTGTGGACAGAATTTGTCTATTTATTGATTTATTTTTAACTGACGCTCCATATTTGTGTGTACGTGTCCTTAATGATGAGAAGACTACATGTCCCACTCTTACTAATCTACAGGATTTCCAAGCTGACATGAATGCGCATAGAGAACACATCTGTCATAATTTAACATCATAAAACTACAGATATATCCATACACATATGCACTCATTGGTTCATACTGATGCATACACATTTACACAGTCATAAAACAAACACTCAAAAAAACAACAACAAAGACTTCATGTTTTGTTTCCTTTAATAAGGAGTTTCTCCTTTTGGTGCATCATATTTCCAACAATCTAACTGTTTTGCTGTAATTTAAGTGAACTGAATCATTTAAAATGCCTTAAAGCAAGTCAGTTGTTCAAAAGCAGAATAAAAGAATCCCTAATAATCATTTTAATTTTAGCTAAGAAGATTTAAAGTGTCATATAAGAAGATCAAAACCAGCACCATCATGTTAGATTACATTATATAGTCGTACTGTACTTGAGTAAATCTCCACATTGACAGTATTAAAAAGCTGCTTACACATAATAATAATCCAATAATAGACATACTGTATGACCTTCTAATGAGCACTTTTGTTCGTTAAACTAGATTTCCCTCAACTTGCTTCCACTTCAAATACATAACTTTTCCTTGTTGTGCTGCATGCTTATACTGTAGTACCACTAGTTTTACTTTCTGCACTACTTCCACCACTTTCTGACTGAAGTCACCTCAGATATTCCTTCTTCTTCAAAAATAAAAAAAACCCTCTTCCCTTTCTGCAGTGCACAACACTGCTGTTTCATGCATTCGGTTTCATGCAGCCAGTGCATTTCTCGCGGTCACATCTGTGTGGATATAATATGCTTATTCTGCTGTATCCATTTCACAGTGACATCTGTCCAGCGGCGAAGAATTAAAGGCAAAAATCCAAATGCCTACACAACATTCTGCCAAGTATTGATTTACTGTTACTCGTGTAACATACGTGGACAAGCCGAGCGCTCCATATTACTTCGGTGAGATCATCTGAAACTGGAAACACGCTCTGTCAGTTGGTCATTCTTTAAGAAAAAAAAAAAAAAAAAACTAGGCGCGAGACGCAGATGTCGATGTTAAAATTTCTGGCAGGGAAAAATTTGCATGAATGAGACGTGTGCGCGGTTGGCTATCAGGAGTGTGTTTGTGAGCGTCTACCTTTTAGATTGAGCACCTCCCTGTCTGCACATCTCAGGGTCTGGAACAAACAGTAGTTCCTTCTTAATTGGGGTGAGATCTGGGGCTTAAAGGGGGCCAAGAAGGGACCTGAACCCCTTTCTTTCTCCTCCAGAATCGCTTTGGCTACAGAGGTGCTTTTGATGTGTGCTTTGGCTCTGCGAGTCCTACTTTGGAATATGTTCTTGGGAGACCATTGGTTACTTGCCTCCAGGCAGAATCTCAATCCCCAGGATCCTGGCCCTCTTTGATGAAATACTTTCGGGAGCCGCTAACCCTACTGATGCCCATGTGTACCTCCTCCCTCCTCCTTTACCCTCTTGTTCTCTCCCCCTTCTACCTCCTCCCACCCTCACCCTCCATCCCCTCCCTCCCCCCTCTACAACCTCCACTACCACGTTCCTTGGATTCTCTTTGAGAGATTCATAACAAGGACTTTATCTCTGTGTAGTCCAGGCCAGATGAGCGCCGCCTGACAAACTGACAGGAGAATTAGTCGTGTCTTACAGAGCACCTCCGACTGTCTCCTCTCGCTTCCTGTAGCCACGAGAATTTTCCCTTCATCGACACTAATGCTCTATTGTTGTACAAGTGGAGCTATTCCTGCACTTAATTCATCAACCTCGTAACCTTATGTAGTTGAATGCATTCAAAAACATCCAACACAAGTGCATTTACTGACGTTTAAAGCAAAAGAAATGCAAATTTATTGATAAATCAACAACACATGAGTCACATCCCTGTCTTGTCTTGCACTGGAATATTTGAAATACTCGCTCACACACACTCATCACACTTTGCGGTTTTGTCAACTTGCTCAACTCTGACATCCAAAAATCCAATCATCACGCTGTGACAAAGTCGGAATCAGACTTTTTTTTTTTTCTAAAAATGATGACAAAGATGTTGACAGTCGTGACAGAAGATCTTAGGCTCTGATTGATTGAGGCAGTAATTAGCCGGTGCTGACTTTATCATCCCGGCAAGTGATTATGAAAAAAAAAAAAAACAGGACAAATCTTCTTTTAAATCAAGCAGTGTAGATTTCTTAATTTAGCCGAGCGGATGTGTGTTACAATCAGGATAAATGAGACCAACTGTGTCGTGATGGACTTGACCTCTCGGCCACACACGCACATTCAAATCCTGGTTAAACGATTAACGGGTGATTTTCCTCCCCAAACTCCCACCTCTTCATTGATTGAAGCTGCACCCTAAAGACCTCTCTTACCACATAATTTCCCTGTATATTGATTATGTATATTGATTATACCTAACCCTACAGGAGGGCTGCCCTCTGCCTCACCGCAGCGTTAGGTAGCACCCAGGAGACTATTTTAGCCCTCATAAATCCACAGTTTATGGCTTATGAGGCAAATGTAAATTGGGTGGTTTTAACTGAGAATACATCTTTGAAATGTATGTACTCTGGGTCACATATGTCCTGTAACTTTTGGATTTATTTCAGTGTGTTTCTTAGTGTTCTTTAAACTTTTGTGCAAAGCAACTGGCAGTTTTGAATCGTGCCACAAGGAACCTTAATGTGGTTCATTTAAACTCTCATCGTTCAAAATGGAAAATAGTTTCCTTCAGTTAAAACGTTGATTTATTTGACAATTTATCCCCAAAATGCAGTCATGCTAAAATTGATGTTGGTTTATCCTCCTTTTTCCTCTTATAAATATTAGGACTTCTGAGGATCAAAGTCTAGAAAAATGGTGCTTACTGAAGGAAAGAAAAGGAAAAAGGGAAAGAAAAGGGGTACACAAAATAAAGAAGGAAAAAAAAAAAAAAAAGGAGGGAGGCAGCGAGTAAAGGAGGGAGCAATCCGAAGGGAGGAGTCAAGCGAGGGAAGGAGCAGCTGGAGTCCCACACTTCGCCCTCTCTCTTCTCGAAAAAACGCACTAAATGTAATAACAACTCTCCATGCGCTTCTCTGACGCTTATGTTGTTTTTTTACGCACGTCTGCGGTCTGCTATCGGCAGATATTATCGGCGGGCTGATGGTGTTGGTCCGGCGGAGGTTGAACACAGCAAACTGTGAGAAGGAGGAGAAAGACAGACAAGAGGAAAAACTCTGGCAGCGCCGTTTTGGAGTTGGAGTTGCAGCGTAAAAAAAAAAAAAGAAAAAAAAAAAAAGTCGCAGGCAACTCCAGAGGCACATCTGCAACTTAGGAAGAGAAGAAGAAAGAGTATATTTTCCCCCCTTTCCAAAGAAGATTTTAAATAAAAGTCAAGGAGAGGAAACCATCCAGAAAGAAGTAAGTAATCTGTTAGAAATTCTCTCACACGCACATGCAGGAATATTGTTGCGCGCATTTGTCCACTTTTAAAGTTTGGAGAAGCGGTGAGTGGAGCAGCGACGGTTTCAAATTTCAAAACGATGGGATTTCATGCAAGTTTAGATGAAGTGGATTAAGTGTAGCTTTTTTTTTGTTTATTTAAAAAAAAGAAGAAAAAAACCCCTCCAGCTATGAAAGCTTCAATGTTGGATCCCAAAAGTGGCCGAAAACGCACCACGGACTGTGCCACACTTGGCCTGGGTGTGATTTCTTCCCTGTGCTGCTTGTTAGATGGCACGCTTACCAAGTATCCGAGGGACAGATGTGCATCTCAAAACTAGTTTGAAGTTGCAGAAAGTTTGGTTTCCATGCAAGAAAAACGTGTCGTTTTAACTTTTGGTGCGTCACAGAGGAGATAAAAACGCTTTGGTGAGAGTTTTGAAGTGAAACTTGGTGAACTTCTGCAAACTTTATTGGAGTTTTACCCCAAGAAACGCGCGTAGGGGGTGTGGTGTGGTGGTGGTGGTGTGGGGGTGGGGGTGTGTGTGTGTGTGTGTGTGTGGAGAGGGGGAGACATGCATATTTATGTGCATGTGTGCTCATATTTCAGTGTCTGTTATTGATTCGCTTTATCCCTGTTGGACCTACTGAAACAGTTAGTGAGAGGATACACGAGCTTGCTCAGGCACTATTTTATTTTAAATCCAAGCAAACCTGTGGCTGACCCCAGCTTTGACCTTTACCATCCACACATATTTCATTTTACACAGTTATCTACCAGTCAAACTATTTTTTTCATCACTTGTTTTAAGCCCGCAATAGTTGCCAAGATTGGAAGTTTATAAAAACACACACAGGAGAAATATTTTCTCTGCAAAAGAAGGAAAAAAAAAAGTCTGCTGAAACATATTTGGCACAGAGAAAAAGTGAAAATGGCAGCAGACTTAATATATTTCTTGTAGCTTTATTATATCTGCAAAACTTTAGTGTCAAACCTCACAGAGTTGAAGTAAATCACTCAGAGGTTGGAATTCATTTATGCTGCTCACAATTTGTTTTGCAATTTGTAGGAAAATATTGAAATGATTTAAAAAAAAAGAAGCATGTTTCAGGATCCATCACGGCGCGTTTGAAGGCATGTGCATGTGCTCGGAGAAATTTAAGCCCATTACAGTGGGATCTGTGGCCCTGCAGGGGTGCATGTGGGGAGTTTTATGGGGGTCCCAGGCAAAATGAGAAATAGTATAAATCCACTATATTTATTAGAAGTCACTGGAATTTACATAATTAAACAGTAAAGTGGACTTAGTGTAGGTTATACAGGCTTCATTTGAAAAACTAAATCAACACCAGAAGGAGAAAAAACTCTCACATGGGTTTGTGTAAGGTGGGAAGAAAAAAAAAAAAAGTCAGGATACAGAAGTCTGTGTTTTTTTGGGGGTCCAGGACATGAAAACGTTTGAAAGCCCCCCGAAGCCTCCACATGTGCAGATATTTGTTTGAAACTTTTCCCTCCTGTCCTTCGCCAGCTGTTCCACATTTTATCTGCTTGTCTGCTCTCGGGTTTCACACAGACGACGAGGGTCCGAGGTGCTCAGCCATGCGGTGCAGCTCAAATCCTCCTTTTTTTGACACATGGCAAATTATTAACGGAGGTTTGGCTTGCCTTGAGACGGAGCAGTGAGTGAACGAATGAGATGTTTTAACAGCGCACGTTCGCAGAGATTTCTAAAAAAAAAAAAAAAAATCTCCTTTTTGCTATTTTATGAGCTAGTTCCATCATTCATCTTAGCTGTGGATTTGGCTTTGAGCAGTTTTTTTTTTTTTTGCAGATCTTGTTACATTTCTCCAATAAAATAAAAGAAATGGACTGTCACATAAACTGTCATTTAATATTTCCCCTCTTTTATTTGTAATAACAAAATAACATTCACAAGACCTACAAGTGGAAAACTAATCACTCAGTTAACAATAAAATACTAACCAGACAAGTCAGGCCTTAAATCACACATTTTGGGCCTAATCTTAATTTTTAAAATGAAGATTTTTTTTACAACAGTAATTTTATTTGTAGGAATTAAAGAGGGCTGTACTCCATCCCCCAGATTTTTTTTTAAAAGCTTTTTGTAGCCTGTGATTTGCTAATTAAACACTTCAAAATAACACTGATAATTAAAAAATATCATATTATTCCTGTATATCATTATTGGAGGCCACAGTTACGGTGGCATCTTAATTTATTTTCAAAGTGTAGATATTTCTTCAAATTGGGTGATTAAGTGTAATTAATCTAAATGTCATGGCTGATATATAGAAGTAAATCTTATTTTGAAAGATTTAATAATCTAGAGACGCAGCTTACACACAAATAATGACTTAATTTCATGTGTTTCTATATATTTTAAAATGTGTCAACTATAATAAATCATATAAAACAAAGTGTGTGACAATCCAATTATAAATATTGTATCTAATATTGCTGTTGCTGCTATCGCATTTTAACTAAAGGTGATGTCCAAGGTTGCTGCTTATTTCAGAGCTGGTGCACCTTTACCCAAAAAAAAAAAAGGAGAAAGGACTTTGTCTCATTATAATGCAGCAGCAAGGATGAATGCAGCAGTGTTTAAGATGCTAATCTGCTGGAATGAGATGCACAACTCGGAGCCATTCGCTTACTGTAGCCAGAAAAGATGCATCATAGCCGCTCTGTGCTTCTTCAACTTCCACGCGTGAGGAGCAGGCGGGATAACGTTTCCCTCTGCAGGAATCAGCCCGTCAGATAGCAGCAGCAGCAGCGAGCAGCAGCAGCACGGTGCTGTTTTATCTCAACTTTAGCCGCTCCTTTTGGTAACGTTATACACAGGGACGTTGGCCTGGGACACCTGTGACCTGGTGACCTGGCAGAATAGAGGCTGTCATGTTAATGCAGGGAGATGACATGCTATTAGCTTTTGAGGTATGGCCCCCTCTCCTCTCCTCTGTCTTTTTTTTTTTTTTTTTTAAGGGCCTTGCATTCACAGCTAAAGGCAGCTTCTGTCCTCAGGCCCTTTACACCCTGCAGGGAGAATACCTGTTATCAGGTCTGTATGCAAGAGGCCCTAATGAGCTGTGTTGTTGTGCTAATGCTGCGACCTCAAGCACTCAAAGAGGTGGCAAATGTTTTGTTAGAACGAGGGTGATGTTAAGGAAGTTGATTATCCTTAAGATAATGAAGAGGGTTGTGTATTTCTTTGGCTGGAATCTGCAAAGTTTTGTAGGTTTTTTTCTGCAGGATGTTGGAGGAATTTTGTGCTTTTTTTCCCCCCCTTGAAAAGTCAAAAGCAATTATCCTACTTTTAATTGTTTATAGTAAAATGAATACACACATCTGACCAGGGAAAGTTTGGAGGAATTCCCTGTGTATTATGATGAGCTGTTGCTTCCCTTGCATATAACTGATGTGCTCGAATAGATGGCCCCCAAAAGAAATCTCTTACTTTGATGATTTGGTACTTTGATATGTTGACATCAAATGAAACAGACACAGTGGGGAAAGAAAGAGGACAAGTCAGACAGAGGTAGTGATTGAGGAAAGGGAGAGAGAGAGAGGAAAAAAAAAAGAGGCAGTGCACGAGTAGCGGGTGGAAATGTGTGTGTGTGTGTGTGTGTGCGCCTGTGTGGTTTTGCGAGGAGGAGCGCTACGAAAACTTGGGCTGAGATGGCAAACCTGAGGAGCGTCAAAAACGTCTGGATGCATTTGCGTACGAGCAGAGACAAGAAGGGGTCTTCGGGTGCGCGAGGGCTTCTCCTTGGCCTCCTAATCCCCAGGCCCAGCCATCCCTTCAGGGCATGCCTCAGATCTGACTCTCTGGCTCTCTGCGTGGACGAGCCAGCTCCGCCAGCAGATTTAATATGCTATGTGTTCCTGCTCCCCCGGCTCCCCTCCACCTCCACCATCATTGTCCCAGAGCGGGACCCCTCACTCCCCGTTTCAAGGAGCCTGCTAAAGGCACCTTTCAAGCCGGGTGATGTCTTTGGATAAGGAGAAGGAGGAGGGGGGGAGAAGTAGCGATGAAGCGGGTATGAGACTCAAGATAGCAAACTGTAATTTCAGATATGTATATTACTCACATGCAGGAATCTTAATACACTAGGGGCTTTTGAAACCAGAGTAAACAGTCATACATTCATCACACTAGACATGCATGCACATGCAGTCTGCTGCTCATTCACACACTTGTCTTCCAAGTTTTTTAAAAATTTTTTTATTTGTCTCCTTTTTTAATAGCACTTGCAAGCAACTTTTTCTTATTTTATTTTATTTTTTTGGACATTTTAATGAAGAAATAAGAAAATGGAGGGAAAAAAGTGGGAGCTCAAGTTGCCTTAGTGGAGCTGAGAGAGCAGTGTTTTTTTTTGTTTTTTTTTTTTTAAATTTTGTTCCATGGCTTTTGCCTTTTTGGAAACTCCAACTGGACCTGACAATTAGCCTCAGCTCTCCCGGAGTGAGACACAGAAGACGGCAATAAAAAAAAAGAAAAAAAAAGCAGAAGAAAAACAGTCACATAAATTTCAATCAAGTGATGTGAATTTACAATCGATGCTGCGTTTGACAGCTCGACATATGGCCTGCTGTAGGTGGATTTTACTGCGATCGCGCAGGTTTGTGTGCGAGCATGCAGAGTGTGCCAGCGACTGACTGCGTTTTCTTTTCTCACACACTTGAGGAGAAGCAGGACAGGTCGCGCCTGCATGTGGCCGCCACTCATCCCCTCCTCTGTTTGCTGTAGCTGCAGTAAAAACGTCTTTAAGTCTGCGGTGTGAAGTATAACAGCAAGAGGTGAAGTGCTTCGGTTTGAGGCCCATTTGCTTGCGGGCTGTGTGTAAGAAGAAGAAAAAAAGAAAAAAAAGTTGAGCGCCTAAAGAGACACTTTGCCGGGGCCGGGGCTGTTATTGCAGATGTGGCATTGTGTCAGCTTTGATGGGAGCCGGTTGTGGCA